ACTCAGCAACAAGGTCCTAATAATAACATTAAACATAATGGCAACTTCTTAATTTTTTTCTTAAATTTACCTAAGAATTTTAAACTATATTCCAATAAACAACTATCATAGTGTGTTTTTAAAAAACTTGAAAGTGACAAGAAATCTAAGTTCTGGCTCTAGCACTATTTCCTATTGAACAAGTCATGTGACAGCTCTAACTTTATGTTATCTATCCATAAACTCAAGTCACTACATATGATAGTTGGGGTTAGTTATGAATTTAAGTGTGGGAAATAACTACCATGACACATAAAATACTAATCTAAAAAGGTGAAACAGAATACTTTGTAAGATTAATGTTACAGGATGTATTCATTAACAAATTAGTATTTTCTTACCTTGGCAACTTTTTGTACAGGAATCGCTTTAGATCCTGAAAGAGAATAATTTTTTAAAAATCATATTATGATATGCTTTTCCAGCCCTGTCCACATCCCCCTTTAAAGAACGTGAAATCATCATTTTTAATTGGTGTTTCATCTTTTACTTGTATAACTTGGAAGAGGTTAACTAACCTTTTTTCTAGGCCTCAGTTTCATTATATGTTTCATTATATGTATACAGGAATAATCACAGACCCTACATCATAAGAATGCTATAAAATTTTAGTAAGGTGTGTATGTTAGTGTACCTGGAGTAGGGAAACACAAACATATATTTGCTGTAAAACAAGATCACATGTTTCATCATTTACATCCTGATAATACTGTATTCACTTGGGTACAGTCTATAAACTTCTTCCCATGTCCATACAGATTTTCCACGACCATTTTTAATGATCCAGAGTAAGTTAGATAAACTACTCTAGTATTCTGCTTCTTGACCAAAGATAATGACAATGTGATGTATTTAACATGGAACATAGTTCAGACTAAGAGAACAGAAGGTGATCTTGTCTCATTACAAACTCATCTGGAAACATTCACTGACAATTCAAGTACCACTTATGAGCTCCACCCTAAATGTGTGCTGATTTGAACCTTCATCTCCAAACCTGAACGAGTATCTTATTCCATGTCACCACCACGAACTTACTTTTGCTCCCGTCTTAAACACACACACACACACACACACACACACACACACACACACACACACACACAAATGGAACATAGGTTGCAAAAGGGGCACCCGTTAGAAATCCTTTTAGATTGTAACAATGAACTTAGAGACATCATGAGCCCTCAGTGGGAAAGGAATCAGACCACTGTCCTACGGAACAGGTACTGACGGGAAAGGCAGGAAATCATCCTTTAGAACTTCAAATGTTAACTACACGGAGTTCTTGTAGGATTCAACAGGATTGGGAGGTGGGACGAATACAGTTCTCTCAGTCTAAGGCACCTTAGTGGCCCCCCACAACCATTCCTGATAGAAACTCAGGACCCTGCAAGTCCACTCTCCTATCAATCCCCTACAGCAGATCCGGGAAGAGGGGCGGGGCTAAGGACGAAACAAATTTCTACCTCTCACCACGCCTCATGCAAACCTCCCACATCCCCTTTCGATTGGGAAGGGGTGTCAACTCACATCCGCCATGATGAACCCCTTTCTCCCGCAGGATCAATCTCCACGCCTGGAAGAGAAACTTCGGTGACTCTCCAGCACCCCGGGCTTAGACCCTCCCCAGACCCAGCATCACGAGATCCACCCTCGCCCGAGGCCGGCGAGGCGCCGCAGTTGTGGGGCTCCGTCCAGGAGTCAGGGGGTCCTTCACACCCCGCCGGGTGGCCAGCCCCGACGGCCCCCCTCCGCCCACCCACCCACCCTGTCCCCGCGCCGAGAGACGGGGCGACCTCTGCAGACCCACGCGCGCTCCAGCCTGGGGCGACCTGCCCGGGTGTCCCCGCAGCTCAGTCGCCTCTCGGAAGCCGCCTGTCAAGCCTCTGTCACATGACTCGTGACCTCCGCGGTGCTCCAGGAAGAACTTGCTACACCCGCCTCCGCTACCGACGATTCGGAAGTTCCGGGGAGGCCTGGCGGAAACTGCGCCTGCGCGCTGCGCCAAGAGCCGCTGGGCTTGCACCCGAGGTCCCTGCGCCCTCGTTTCCACCCAGCACACCTTCAGTGGAAGAGGTTCCTCTGCAGAGTATGCATACGCCCTTTCCAGGCCAATTATCTTAAATCTTCCCTGATGAATGAAGACATTTGAGGAGCACGAACTGGATAGCCTACTTGTTAGAAGTCCCAGGTCCCCAGATGACCCCATTTTCATGACTCGCCGGTTTCCTCCGTGTGCTCTTGACTTGAGTTTTCACCTAGAGTCCATGCAGGAGCCGTGGGCGGTGGGCTCATGTTTGTCAAGTCTGTTTTAAACATGCACGTACTGGGCTGCCTCTTTGGCTCTGAATCTGCATTGGTTGTGTCTTCTAAAAACGGTTTCTTTGGTCTGGTGTTTGTACATTCAAGAAAGCCTACAGTATGGGGAAGACTAAAATGCTAGCAAAAAGGAGGACTCTCCAAATGCTTCAGCCCAATGTTTCTCACTATTGGTCATTCTTTGTGGTAAAGGACTGCACTAAGGTTAGCTTAATGGACTTCTGTAGAAACCCAGAGACAAATGGAAATCGCCTGGGATCAAAGTCACGACCCAGTCAGTGGCCGACTGCCTGATCTTCTCAGGAAATTTGAAGTTGATGGCTTTTGCTTCAGATTTTCTCTTACCTCGTGTATTCTTAACAGTAGTGTACCTTGAAAACAAGTAAGATGTATGGGAACACATACCTAACCTTCGTTTCCAGTCCCTAAAAGCAGGGGCGCGAACACTCAAAGACATAGTGGAAATGTTGTAAATGTATTATCTACAGTTGTCTGAGAGGATGGAACTGTTAACTACTCAGCTCAACAAATGACCCCCTCCTAGTCATGAGATTGTTACAAGTGACATGAGAAATTGAAAGGGACATTCTTAAAAGTCACTTCCCCTTTTCCTTTTCATTATTGAAATAGTCAATTAAAAATTATTATTATTATGAGATAGGGTCTCATTGTATATCTGACTGGCCTAGAATTTGCTATGTAGACTAAGATGGCCTCAACCTCACAGAAATCTACCTGCCTTTGTCCAGAGTGCTGGGTCTAAATAGAGGGCTGGTCAACACACCCAGCCCAATTTCATACCTGTGGGATACTGCATAACATGATTCAGGTTCCCAATCTCTCTGGTCTCCTGATTCTTCAAGTGATGGCATTTTTATTTTTATTATAATATTATTATTTTGCAGTTTTATTCATTCCACAATGAATTTGTTCTGAACCTACACTTTTCAAATGTTCTGTCTTCATTTTCTCTTGCTTACTGAAAGCTGAAACTCTTCTTTCCTGTCTCACTCTCTGCTCCAACTCAGAAGCTCTCAAAACACCCACGAGCCTGCTTCTCCTTCTCGTTGCATTGGAATCATGACTCTCAGTCAGCAGTCATATTTGTTGACCTCTTCGTTTGCACCCTGTTTTCTCTAACAATGACTTTTGCATGTTCATCTTTCAGTTCTTGATTGAAGCCCTTACTTCTGTTCAATGAGACTAAATCAATATCCACCTGCATTGATCAGTTTATTACCAGTCTAGTAGTCAGCTTAGCGTTGACTCAGCATTAGAAGTTTCTTTCCGTGACTGATTGGTTCCATTACTTGGTGTCGGCACATCAAGATGTGGGCATGCTGGGGGACAAGTGATCAAGGCCTTCATGTATAAACCATTGGGAGAGACTGAAGACCCAAGCTACACCACTACTCACTTAATAATAGCAAACAAAACTGCTAAAAGCATACACATTACCAGCTGCTCAACAAGTTGCTAGGAATATATTGATGCAGCCTTCAAATAGAAACTCTAAAAACCCAAATCTGACACTTTGACTCCCTCCTTAAAAACCTAAGTTTTTTGACAAGTGACTTGAGATGCAATACCATCACCATGATTTCTATATCGTCTTCTGAAGATTAGGACCCTATTTTAAGTCTCTCACCTACTTGGGAATTCTTATACTAAATCATCACACAAGTTTATTTTTATTTTTCATAAAGTTTTAATGCTTTTATTCTTTGAGAATGTCATACAATGTAATTTGATAACGTTCACCCCCGATTCCTCTCTCGAACGCCTCGTAGGTCCACCCCCATGTCTGTACCCTCCAAACTTTGTGTCCTCCCCCATCCCCCAATAATCCATCAAGTGCAGTTTGCGCTGCTCCTGTACTCCTGGGCCTGTGGGACTGGTCAATAGAGCGTGGCCAACCTACCAGGGACCACTGCTAAAGAAAACGGGCACTCCCCCTCTCAGAAGCCATCAACTGCCCATAGCTCCTGAGTTATGGGTAGGGCCCATGAACCCCTCCCCATTCTAGAACTCCATGCTAGAATGTTGACTGGCTCGATCGTGCGCAAGCAACTTCAGCGGCTGTGAATCCTAACATTTTCATGATAACATCAGTTGGCTCACACTGCATGTTTTTCTCTAGTATTTCACCTCACTCTTTTTTCATCTTTTGGGTTTTAACCTAAGTTTACTTTCTCAGTGAAATCTTCCTGGACCTTTCCAGAATAGTTTAGGTATTCTAGATAAATGTTCTCATTGTACTTTGTGATCCTCTCACATGTATCAAAATGAAAACTAGATTTATTTCCTTGACAATAATATTTTCTTGATTAAATTGACACTGAGCTTTTTCTTGATCAGTGACTAATTCTCAAATCTCTTAGCTCACTATCTGTGACATGGCAGGGATTCATACATTTACTGAATGGTTAAATGAATGAAAGAATGAGCCATATAAGGAGTATAAAATATGCCAGGCATGGTGGCACACGCCTTTGATCCCAGCACTTGGGAGGCAGAGGAATGTGGATCTCTGTGAGTGTAAGGCCAGACTGGTCTACATAGTGAGTTCCAGGATGGCAAGAGCTACAGAGTGAGACTGTCTCAAAAAACAAAAGGATAAAATATAATGAAGACAAGCCTTTTATGGTGAGAACATCCCTTCTTTTTATTAATATGTTGAGATAAATTACAGAGACTGAAAGACAAAAATTCATAAATCATTCATTACAACATTCATTAAAAATCAAAAGCAGCTTAAGAGTTCTCACAGGAAATCTTATATAAGTCTGATATAACATTAAATTTTTACAAATCAGACCTTTTACTTTTAAACCTAATTATGTGATCTTGAATGCACTATGAAGATCTCCTTTACCAATAGCACTTCATTTTACTAACACAAGGCTTCCATTAAAATGTCACCAGACCTGAAAATCTGTATCACACCTTGGAAATTACCTGCAGCTTTAAAAACAAACAAACTAAAACTTTGAATGGAAAGTCTCACACAGCAATCTAAAGACCAAAAACAAGGCAGAAATGACTCACATCTGGATATAAATAAACTATAAACTCCAGTTGTTTCTTCCTTACTGCTGTCTCCCAACTCAGAAACATTCATTTTGAAGGTAATGATGAAAATGCTATAGTGTCACTCAAAAGTCCTTCCGATGTTAACGGTGCCAATGAAAGGCTAAGTAGAATCTTGGGATGAAACCAGCAAGACTTGCTGGCATTTCTAGCAGGTGTCTATTGCCTTTATACAGTTACTAAATATCTCAGCAACCAGTCACCCCAAGTTTCAATAACTTATTAAACCAGGACACTTCAAGAACCACTTCTGGGTTACCAGACTCGGAAAGATACAATTTTACTTGACACACGGGCCTTGTAATAGGAAATCTGCATTAAAACGTGGAAATCAACTGAAAGATTTCACACCAATGCAATTCTACTGACTAATGGTCAAACTTTGAAACAAGAGTACCTACTGCTAATGGAAGCCCTGCTCTGTGCAAACAGTATGGTATTTATTAAACAATCACATATCTGAGGTATTAGCTGGAAAATATATACATTTATATATATATATATATACACTTATACATGGACACATCCACAGAATATTCACAAAACTATTGGCCCCTACACCAGCAGAAGATCAAATTAATTGAAAAAGAATCACATAATAGGAAAAAGTTACATGGGGGCATTTACAAAAATGTTGTTACATAATCCTTAATATAAGGAGCACGTTTGAGTAACTGCTCTGAGGAAGAAATGTTGCCATCGGTATGAAAGTGTCTGTGTTAGAGAAATTGAAACTAAAATGGGAACCTGGATTCAGGACTGTGAAGCCTGCCAGATTATTAAAGGTTGCGCAATAATTGCTTGAATAACCTGGTTCTAACTGCTTTTGTTTTTGTTTTTTATTGTAGTTGAGACAGTCTGACAAGGTACCCAGGCTAGCCTCAAATCTATAATCCCCCTGCCTCACTTGGTCTCCTAAGTGTTGGGACAACATGTGTGAGCTACCATGCCTGACTTCTGTTTGTAATGGAAAAGTAGACTTTAGAAAAAACAAAACATGGAGGTTATTGTCAGGCTATTCTTTTATTTTCATTGGTTTACAGAGAATTTTAAGTATTTTACTGACTCTGATATGGCTACTAAACAAGGATTTTTAGCTATCTCATGATTAAAATTCATTTTCATAATTTTTCTATACAGATAATAAAAAATGTTATGGGTTTCTTTTCAGTTTGTCTCACTCAATAAACAGATGGCTAGCAAGACATCCAGGACTAAGCTCGAACATCACGTAGAGAAGCTAAGCAGAGACACTCATTCCTCTTTAAACCATTTGGTCCTTGGTTACAACACCTGTCAGATTGAAAAGATGGTCATGTGGCCCTCTGGCCCACCAATCAATAGTTTACTACTGCTTTAAAAAGTGGGAGTTTTTAAAATTAAGTATCTCAGAACGCAGCAACAACTGTACCATGTGCTAAATAGCTGCATTTCCAATATTACTAATAAAGACAGGAGAGTAAAAACTCATTTTATTTTACATATCAGTGTAAAAGTTTGAACAGCAAGAAAAATTAAGCATAAAAGTGCATTTGAAGTTAAGGGCTAGCACTCCACATTCCTGTTCTTGGAAACACCTGAGCTGACACAAAACAGAGCACTTACACACACTGGTGCGCACACACACACACACACACACACACACACACACACACCCTTTATACTGTAAGGACCTTGATTTTCCTTACTGATTATTTGAAAATCATAAATAAGCATGTAGTGGTTATGAAATGATTATGCACTCAAATGCAATCAGGTCTCAAAATGTTGTTTTCACTTATTAGATGGAAAACTTGAAATTTCTCTGTGTCCCATTAACCTATTTGATTAAAAAAAATATCCTAAGATTTCAAGATGACTAAATAACGAATGTCAGGAATGTCAGTGTATTCAGGAAGAAGGGACTCGAAAGGAGGAAAAGTGCTGTTTTCTTTCCTCCCAAAGTGTGTGTGTGTGTGTGTGTGTGTGTGTGTGTGTGTGTGTGTGTGTGTGTGCTTCTCTGTGTCTAAAGGGATAAAACGTCAATTACTAATAAATATAACTACTGTTCCCAAACTTCCAAAAACTTAGAAACCTAATTAGTATGCAAAGGTAAAGAGCTACTGGGTGAAGATGAAAGTGATCAAATGAAATTAAGAAACTTCATGTAGCTATAAGACGGGAAAATACTGGGATTTGCATCATAAGAGTAGGTAGCAAACACAAAAATCTTTCAGTTCAAGTCATTCAAATACACATGAAATTAAATTCAAAGCCACTAACTAGTTCTTTCCACAATACAGGCATCATGAAGAATTCAGTCTTTACTTACATACTTTATACATAGCTTAAGATACCTGGCACTCAGCCAACCATGCCCAGAGCTATTTCCAAGTTTTGTTTAATCTAACCCATAAATGTCATAAATGTGATGGGATGCAGCAACAAACCTGAAACAATACTGTCCAAAGCCATGTGCAACTCTATGCTGTGTTAGTTTCTCTCAGTCTGATAACCTCACCTCTCTTCTCCATCCTGTAACGGTGGGATTTACGTAGGTTTGGCTCATGTAAATATCGATCATATTAATGTAAATTTCCTAATAAAACTGGAAAAATAGCTTAAAAACTTTCATTCCAGTTTCTACAAATTTCTTGATATATATGAGCTTTCAAAGTTAATTAGAATGCTACAGTGATTTTAAGTGATTTATTATACAGGCTCAAGAAAATAACTTAAAATTCTATGATGTATGCTCATTCTGCAGCAATGTACTAACAGCGGAACAATACAGAGATTGACATGGCCCCTGTGCAAGGATACACAAAATTCATGAAGTTTCTATATTTTTTAATCCAATGAGAGGCAACTAGCAACTAAAAATAGGCACAGTGAACTATTCTGAAGAAAAAGTGGGAAATAAGACCAGTGAACATCAAGACCAGCAAATGTAAAACCATGAGGATCACAGACCACGCGAAAGTGGAGACAGAACTTTGCAATTGCAGATTTCCGTTCAAATAAAAAGATGACAAACTGGTTGTTATGTTTTGTGCCCGTAGGTGAGTGCTACAGCCGGCTTTTGTCAGAGAAACTTATTTTTGTGATGGGCAGAAGTAACTTCGGAGCTCATAATGGTCACAGTAATGGGAAGACATGACCACTGAGTGCTGAATGAGACGTCGACATTACTCACTCTGAGGCACAGAGAACAGTACAGACCAGGGGTGGAAATAATGCAAGTGGTGAAGTTGTGGAACACTGCTTTCTGGCCATGACACAGTAATCACACTGTGATTCTGCACATGGTCTCTATAAGGTTGGGCCCATCCAAATCCTGCTGGGGGGGGGGGGCTCACGAGGCTGCACCCCACCGTGAGCATCTCTAGGCAGTTAGTGGTTGATGAGGGAGGGAGACATTTTCTTCAGGGTTGCAGGTCTGGTAATGTGCCTGTGTTCCTGTCAATAACTCTTCACCTATGCCCTACATTCAACCGTAAGGAAAACTTTTTGGGTCGTCGTCGTCGTCGTCGTCGTAATCATCATCATCATCATCATCATCATCATCACCACCACCAAAAAGACTGAAGGGAAGAGGATCAGTGGAGTAGGAGGGAACAAGAGAGAGTCATAGGAGGTGAAGATGATGGACTGTATTATACATGTGTGTATGAAAATGTCACAATGAAACCCATTGTCATATGTAATTAATATGTGCTAATAAAACAGTTTTTGAAAAAGGAAGGGAGAAAATGAAAAAAATTAAGCATAGTTACCAGGGATAAAGAGCTATATAACAAAGAGGTGAAGTCTCTCCGAAGACACTGCCTATGGAATGAAGATATAAAATAGAATGTGAGGGCTGGCGAGACGGCTCAGCAGTAAAATACTTCCCGCACAAGTCTGAAGACTCCAGTTCAATGCACAGAACTGAACAAGGTATAAAAGGAAAACTAATTCCTACAAGTTGTTCTCTAACCTCTACATGTGCGCCTTGGCACACGTGTACACACACACACACACACACACACACACACACACACACACACACTATAAATATAAGAATAAATAAAATTTATAATAAAACAATTTCAAACAGTTGCAAGAATCACAGGAATGACCAGAGGCTGAGTCACTTACAGAGCCTGAAGTTGACTGTTCTAAGCTAAAGGCCGTGCTAACAGGGCAAGGGGGAATGCTGAGCAGAATGGGCTGATCGGTGCAAATCTGGCTGGAGATGAGAGGGAACAGCTAAGGAAAGTTACTGAGTTGAAATGGTGTGATAACATGTCATTCTTTAGATAAAATACAGAAAAAAGAAGACTTAAAACAGTGCATTGGATTTATAACACTCTTAGAAGAGCAGAGGACTTACATGAACAAGAAACTTAAAAATGTAGTTGTCACAGCTTAAAAACTAGAGATTTGAAATGGATATTTCAATGTCTATGTTTAATTAAACAGGAGATTCATGATCTTCATGGGAAATGAAAAAGTATGTTTCCTTTGAATGAAAATACACGTTATAGCTGGGCGGTGGTGCACATGCACACCTTTAATCCCAGCACTCAGGAATCAGAGACAGACAGATCGCTGTGAGTTCGAGGCCAGCCTGGTCTACAGAGCAGGCAGGGTAACACAGAGAAACTCGCTAAAAAAAAAAAAAAAAAAAAACCACCCCACTTTATTACCAGGTGTGCAAGCATATGCCATTAATCCCAGCATGGGTAGGGCGGTGCAGGCCAATCTCTGAGTTCCAGGCCAGCCTGGTCTATACTGTGAGTTCCAGCCAGCCAGGGCTACACAGTGAGACTCAAAATAAAAAAAGAAAGTGACCCAATGAGCAAGCACTAAAGCATCACTAAAGCAGCATGGCAGCCTCCTTGAGGACCAGAGGACTCTGGGAAGGGACACTCTAAGACTCATCATCTTGTACCAGAGAACAAGGTCCGCGGTTGACGGAAATGCAGAGAAGTTAAAGGGATAATAATGGTTGGATGCGATTCAGAAATCTGCAACTGAACACTGAACTGACAGCTGGAGAAGATTCTAATGAGAGAGAAGTAGAAATACAAACAGCTATGTAGAGGCATGCAACCTTAGACAAGCATTCACATGAACGAAACAGCACTAATTCAGGCTAACCGTCAGACAGGAAGGTTGCTGAAGGAAGCAGCTCAGAACTCGGAAGGCTGTGGGAACGAGGCCCAGAGTGCCCTGGGACTGTGAGGGTGACACTGGTGTGAAACTCAGCCCCAGGTTTGTTCCAAGTCAAGAGCAGTGATTCCTATACCAAGCCCTCAGCCTTCGTGGGAGCATGCAGAAGAATCCAAGCAAGAGGCAACTAAAACTGACCGACACAGACACAAGAGGTAGAAGCAGCCACCGCCGAGCGTGGTCCTTTGAAGTTACTCCTCAGAATCTAGGAAAGTCAAGATTCTCTCTAGAGAGTGACGAAATATGTTTAGACGGCGAGGAAAGGGTTTTTACTGAAGATGACTAGATCTGCAGCATGTTAATAGTTTCACATTAAATGTATTATGTGAAAACTTTAAAATGAACCTTTCCTTTCTTTGTAGCACTCCTATTTTTAAAGGTTGTGTTTCTAGACATGGTTGGGTTGTCCAGACTCCTAAAACAATGTGTGTAATTTAACCCACTATTATAATCAGGTATTTCTACTGAAGAATCTGACAACAGAATACAAGAGGCCATTTTAAAGAAAATTCAACAGAGGGCATAAATGAGCAATATTTAGAAAAGAATCCTTAAGCAAAAGCACAAAGCCACTCTACCTAACAGTCTCGTTCTTGAGCAAGGGATGGGGGGTGACAACGAACTACCGAGAATGTAAATGTAATTTGTAATTCTTTAACTGTATGTAGCAAAACCAAGTAAGCCATCACTACCACTGAACACCCAAGACCAGAGATCAACTCAAACTCAGTAAGCACCAAAACTTCAAATCCCAGCTCTGTTTTCCCGCCATATATCACAGATTTTGTTAGGAGGAGTTTATTCTAAAGAGCTGATGAGTTGCCTGGTGGTAAGTGGAGCTTAGCTCAGAATGCCGATGACGACTTTGTCAATCACTGCTCTAGCTGCTGCTCAGGGCTGTGTGTGGCCCAACAGATAATGCTCCATCAAGTAAGCCAGCCACATTTGTAAAGGCACGAAGCTGGGTATTAGTGGTCATTGTGTTCTTATTACTTATTTGTAGAAGAATTCATTTGCTTTGAGGTCCTGCTTCAGTCATCTCCATGAAACTGAATTTCCACGGGAAGAAAGTTCATCTTTTGCTTCATAAACTTCAGTAGCCTTGAAAGACACATTAATGAACATTTGGGGCTAACTTTTAATTACCGAAATTGTAAATGGAAAAACTGCAACTTACCATTGAAAACTCATTTAGCTTAATATTTATCGTCATATTTTCTTTAAAATCTATCTTATAGCATTTTTTCCTATGTATGGCTTAGCAATTCATAAGACTAAAGAGCATACTGATAGTATACACCAGATCATTTATCTCATTACAGATTTTGGAATACAAGAACAATATTAAAAATGCCAATTCCTTCTACACTGATATCAGATTTTACATAAAGTTTTGTTTTTCCTTTTTGAAAAAAATTCATTGTTTCAACTCCACATACCCAGTCACCTAATGGGAAAAGTGGCTGTGTCATAGACATTTATTCCATCAGCCTAAACGAAGTGTCTCATGGAGCTAAACACTAAAATAATTTAAATAAAAGGCAAGCGCTCCTATATACACAAAATCATTCTAAAAATATTTACATGGCAAAGGAATAATGGAGAATCACTAAAACTGGCAATTGCTACAGGTGTGACAATCCTCTCCAGACATCATAAGGAATCATGTAAGATTTTAAAGTGAAAGTAATTGCAGAAGCATACTAAAATATTTAGTTTTCAGTTCTTACTATTGAAATGAGCCAGTAGATCATTAACAGTCCAAGATTTCAGAAATCAACTACTCAGCTTAGTCTTTAATCAAATCTTCTTCGGCTTCATGGCGAAATGAAATTTACAGAAAAGACAGAGTACATGGAAAGGAGCAGCAGGACTTCCAGCTCATCCCCCCTTGTAGAGACTGGTCAGTCGCTCAAGCTCTTTGCAGTTGTCCATACTCAGAGCATCCGCCTTCCTCCTCAGCCGTTCATCACGGTACACCTTTGCTGCATACTGCATATCTGTTTCTGTACACAAAAGGTTCGCTAGTTAATAACAAATGACATCACCTTAGCTGCTTGAATTTAAAAACCACTTTTGAGAAGTTTATATATATACATAAATATTTTTTCTGAACTGACTTGAAAGAAAGAAAGAAAGAAAGAAAGAAAGAAAGAAAGAAAGAAAGAAAGAAAGAAAGAAAGAAAGAAAGAAAGAAAGAATAATTCCTATAAACCATTTCACTTGGACTTTTTCTTTTAAAAATTTTTTGGACAGGGACTCTACACAGACCTGGCTGCCCTACAGCTCACTATGTAGACCAAGCAGGCCTTGAACTCAGAGATCCTCCTGCCTTTGCCTCTGAGTGCTATGATTAAAGGTGTGCGCCACCACACCCATCAGGCTTTTTCTTTATATAACTTCACTTTGAGCTTAGCTCACAGAACCAGCATCAACAAGAAATAAGGTTGGAGCCCTGCCATCTCCTCCCAGAGCCCTTCCCCCTCACCCCTGAGCCAGTGGCTAAGGCACTGCCCTGGAATAACCCCTCAGCCTTTTCTAAAACATCTCCTGAAAGCCAGGATTGCACCAGGCTCTGTTGGTTGTGGTTTGTGATAATTCCAACAGTTGAAAGTACAACTTAAGCCGGGTGGTGGTGGAACATGCCTTTAATCCTAGCACTCAGGAGGCAGAGGCAGATAGACCTCTGAGTTTGAGGCCATCTTGGTCCATAGACCAAGAGCAGCCAGGGCTACACAGAAAAACCGTGTCTCACCTCCCCCCAAAAGAACACAATTAAAGCAAACTCCTCCTCCCCCTCTTCCGCCGCCGCCACTTTCTTTTTCTTCATGAGAATGGGTTTCATTACATAGCCCCAGCTGGCCTCAAACTTGTGGTTCTTCTGCATCAGCACCCTAAGTGCCAGCATTGTGTGTGCTTTCACACATGGGGAAATACTGGAACATACAACATTTCTCCACATATATGCAAATACTGCCTCCACACAACCTGAAAAAATAACCATAATTCTGCTAGATGATAAGACCCTACAGCTGAACATATTACATGGTTTGGTCATAGGTGAATCAAACTATAATTGAGCTGGAAGCCTCCTCCTTCCCAGATAACTTTCATAATGACAAAAGGAGCTATACAAGCTGATGGAGAATTATTAGGAACAGTCTTATTCAGCTGTAGATGCTGGGTACTGCTCCGCTAATCCACTAGGCAGTTTGTGCTCATCATACAATAGTGCCATAGTTGTTACGGGGGTAACTAACCCCTTTCTGATTGGAGTTGAGGTCTACTCCACAGTAAAGAATTTACATCTGGAATGTAAACCTGGTTAAAAAAAAAAAAAAAACCTGTGGCTGCGAGATCATAGGCCCAATTGGAGAAGCTATGCTGTTGTTTTGCTAAATGGATACAACACACTTGTCTTTAAACACTTGTTTACACCCAGTGACTAACATGCCATCAACTTTGAAAAGAAAGCTCCTACTTGCAATGGGTGGTGGTTACTATGGACTCATAAATGATCAAAATAGTGAGCCTAAGTGACTGCTGAAGACTTAGCCCACCACGGGGCATTTCTATCATCCTCTCTGAAGCTCAGGGAGAATGGAAGGAATGAAGAGCTGGAAAGGCTGGAGGGCTGTGGAACGATGTCACCAGACATGATATCACTGATGCTCTCATGAACTCACAGTAGCTGTTGTCTCCGATCTGCACAACATTGGGTCCATCGGTGTTTTTGCATGGAGGGAGAGGGAGGCCCCACCCCTCTCTGAGGAGCTATACCCAGTTAACAGCTGGTAGGGGGAGAGCATCATCAGGCCCTACCCCTCCAGGAGGGGCTATTTGCAGTTAATGGTTGCTGAGGGAGAATGAGATTTTCTTCAGTGGTGTTACAGAACCACTGCTAAGATGCCCAAGTTCCTGTAAATACCCATGTTCCGAAAGCAATGCGCGCACACACACACACACATACGAGAGAGAGAGAGAGAGAGAGAGAGAGAGAGAGAGAGAGAGAGAGAGAGAGAGAGAAAGGAACACAGGAGGATTAACTGGGAAGAAGAGGGAGGGATCAGCAGGAGTGTGAGGAGAACAAGGTTGGTAATGGGAGGTGAATATGATCAAAATACTTTATATACATGCATTAAATGTCACAATGAGACCCAGTATTATGCATAATTAATATATGCTGTGGTGGTTTGAATGAAAATGGCCCCCAAAGGCTCACAGGGAGTGGCACAATTAGGAGGTGTGGCCTTGCTGGTGGAGGTGAGGCCTTGTTGGGGAAGTGTGTCACTGGAGGTGGCCTTTGAGGTTCCAAGTGTTCAAGCCAGGCCCAGTGTTAATCTCTCTTCCTACTGCCTGCCAATTTGGATGCAGAACTCTCAGCTACCTCTCCAGCACCATGTCTGCCTGCATGCCACCGTGCTTCCTGCCAAGGTGATAATGCACTAAACCTCTGAACCTGTTGCCAGCCCCAATTAAATGTTTTCTTTATAAGAGTTGCTATGGTCATGATGTCTCTTAACAGCAATAGAAACCCTAACTAAGACATATGCTAACAAAAATAAACCATAACTAAATACTAAATAAGACTTAACACTGACTGGTACAAGTCACTATGTTAAATGCTTACTGAATAATATGTTATGATGACAAGGCAACTAGTTTAGCAAGTAACTTGGTCCTCTGGATAATGTGTGATTGGAAGAAGCATTGTGTAAGGCTATCTACTCAACATCAACAAAAAAAAAACACAGTAAGACAAGAACCATTTAGTAAGTTCTTACACTGTGCCAATTTTTATGTTTTGCTACATGTATAAAAAATCATTACAATCAACCCCCAATAGACATGTTAGATTGATGCCAGGGTCTCCAGATGCTAAGATACAAGGATGTTTAAGTCTCTTACACAAAACATCTGTGTTTGCATACCCTACACATATGCTCCTGTGTCTGTTGCCTCCATTTTACGAAGGTTGCCTAATTCGGTGGAGATGTCATGCAAACAGTTGTTACAGTGGATGGCTTCGAGAACAATGACAAGAAACACTGGCCCACGTCCAGGACAGATGCAGCTGCTCTTTTTCTGCACAGTTTTGATTGACAACTGACTGAATCCATGGGTGAGGGAAGCTTCAAACGTAGAGGGCTGACTGCTCAGTCATGCACTGGATTCCAATTATAAACCAGGGGATTTCCCTTCTTAAGTAGCAAAATCTACAACAATAATTCCAAAGACTCTAAAACATTTTCTAAACTGTTAAAAATATTTGATAGACTTACTTTGCTGTCTTTCTTTCCAACAGTTATTTCGAATATTAGTCACATAATCCTCTTCCACACTCTTTTCTACCTTCTGTAATAGTGTTCCTTTATATTCGCTTTTAAAGTCCTTACTGACGTAATAAACAACGCCCAAGTTTTCTGTCTGCATTTTAATAGTTTGTCCTGATCCACTGCAAAAGAGATACATAATCATTCTTTTAATTAAGGCTACATCCTAATATGCAAATCAAGAAGCAAAAATAAAAGTAATTTAAAGTTAACATCAGCATTAGTTACATTCGTGAAAACTGCTTCAAAGCACTTTTCACAGAATACACTGTTTTTGGTGAAGCTTCCTTCATCTTCCCATCACTTAATTAAGTCATCCCCACCTTTTGACAGGAGCCTAAGACCAATTATTTCCCCCTTCCCTTTTTGTCTTTCATATCAATGTATTAACTACATTAAATTCAAATTCAAACACAGCACTTTTGTCCTTACTCACAGTGGACTACTTACGTTAACTATTTTTAAAATTAGAGATTTTCTTGTAAAAGAGTTGGCACTTAAAAGCATCAAAGGACCCTTCAAGGGAAGAAAAGAAACAGCAACAACTAAATTTTGTAAAATTTCACTTAGCTACTTACGATCTGGGATATAAAGAGTAAGGAGGGTTCGAGACCATCAACTGGCTTATCAAGGACACGAGGATCAATACAATAATGGGCATCAGCTGGATAAACACAGAAAACCCTCCCTATAAAGAGATGAGAGAACAACAGTGTCGCATGACTGTCAGAATCCAGTGGTTGCCATACATTCTTACAGGTACAAAGGACGTCTGTGGCCATCTAGGGCAGTCCCTTCAAACCTGCTGAATAAACTCAACTTCCTGTTATAATCTCTAAAATCCAAACTCCCCAGGGCAGTACAACTCCTCTGACCTCGTTTTAGAGATAAGGAAGGCCCTCCTGTCACACACACCGAGACACCTGGGTTTAGCAGGGGAGTCCATACATGCCGGAGCTGGGCTCAGGCCTCTTCCTGTCTAGTTTAGTGTCCTTTCCATTCAGCTTTCCACACAAAGAGCTTCATTAGTGCAGGCCATCAGGCATGCCTGCATTAGAGCCAAGCAAAGGCAAAGGTACTTCTAACTAAGATTTTGCAGCATCATTTCTAAATCTTTCAGGACTGATAAAAAGAAACCACCTTCAGAACATGCAAAATAGAGATACACCTTTGTCAGAATTCTGCAATATCAGAAGGCCCACACTGCCACCACCCTGACCCTGACCTCTACTCCTGCACCTACATTATTCTCCCAGGACTTCTGAGTCTCTTTTGAACACTTGCTAAGAGAAAACTCATTATTTCTTAAAACAACTTGCCCTATTTTTAGTCGATTCTAATTGCTTTCCTGAACTAGAATTTGTCATTTTGAGATTTACAATCACATTGTAAACATACATCTGCTCTTTCTTCTTCTCTTTCGTGTCCACTGTGTCGGTGCTGATGTTGATGGCTGTAAGCAGCCCGGCCATTTGAAAACGAGTGTACACTACCTAGAAAATTCAAAACACGGTTAAATTAACAAGTTTTTTTTTTAAAAAGTAACAAAATTAATGGCTGTTTGTTTTGAGAAATGAATGATTACTGCCTGATTTTGCCTCCACCTTCCAAATCAGATATGAGCTACCATACCCAACTTTCTAAATTTCTTTGTGAAGATGTGGATAAGAGTTCCTTAACAATGCTACATACATGAAGGGCCATCATTGTTGGTGATTGTTCCTACAAACCTTAGGTCTTTATTCTGAAAATTCTGATTGCTGCACTTAAAAAAATCAAACACATCTGGAAATCCAAAGAGCTTAACAATGAATGTTTTTAAATGCTAACATATTAAAGTATAAGCGATCACAGATGGACATTCAATTTGTTTTCAAGTGGGGTGAAGAAGCAGAAACAGCTGTTGTTGACAAAATAAACCATGTTTTAACTAACAGAAAACTGCAAATTAACTATTAAGAAGAAAATTATCGCTTCAAAGATTTCTGACTGTTCCCAACATATTTCCAGTCAAAATTCTTAGTTTTAGTAACTTTTCTCAGAGGTAATATATTCTATTTTGTCAAACACAGGTTAAAGTTTTGATCATTCACTTGTATTTTTACAACTCAGGGATGCTCTGCAAAAATGTCCTTCAATGATAATTGTCTTTCTCTATGATACTAAGAGATGCTCTGGGGTCAAATTCTCATTTTGAATGGGACATTTTACTCAGTACCTTAAATCAATGCCATAAACAAGCCTAGAGGGGCTGGAGAGATGGCTCAGAGGTTAAGAGCACTGACTGCTCTTCCAGAGGTCCTGAGTTCAATTCCCAGCAACCACATGGTGGCTCACAACCA